GATTCAGAAACTACTAATTCAGCAATAGATGACGTGGTTGAAAATCATGTTGCAGACCAACTTTCATCAGACATTACACCAAATGCTATGGATACTGAATTTTCAACATCTTCTCCAGCCAGTTTACTGGAGCGACCAACCAATCATACAGAGGCTTTTGATCATGACCATTTGGGAACTAATGACCTCACTGTTGGCGGGTTTTTAGAAAATCATGAGGAGCCAAGAGATAAAGAACAATGTGCTGAAGAGAATATACCAGCATCTTCACTCAACAAGGGAAAGAAAGTAATGCATTGCAGAAGCCATGAAGAAGTCAATACTGAATTAAAAGCACAAATAATGAAAGAGATCCGAAAGCCGGGACGAAGTATGTATACTTAAGAGACAAACCTCAGATTTGATTTCTTTCTATGCCCAGAAAACCAAAACCAAGTCAACTAAAAATGTAAATCTGATTCTAGATAGTCTTGAATAATATCTGAACTATATATGATTGTTTATTCAGCTTCCAAATAATATCTACTATATTTTAAGGTTTTAGGGTATTAGGTGTGATGGACAGCAAAGACTGAGAGCCAAAGAAAATAATACAGATAATTGTATATGTGTATTTCCTATCATGACAGAAATTCAAGAGTCTAAAGTATTTGAACCAGCACTTGGAATTTTAATCTAGCAGCTAACCCAGAAACGTAGTGAATATTAAATAACTTCATGTCTGTAATGTCCTTTTTTGTTATTGTGCATACTACTGTGTTTAAAGTATGGTAGTGACCAGGACTATATTTAGGCCAAAAAATAAAGTTAGGAAAGATGTTTAGTATAGAATACAAGGGCCTGGGAGATAGCTCAGTAGAATAAGCATCTGCCTGGCAAGTGCAAGGTCCTGAGTTCAATCCCCAGTACCACAAGAAAAAGAAAAAAAAAAAAAGTATAGAATACAAAAGAACTTTGTAGGGAAAAGAGAATTAATTGGCGTTTATTCAGAAGATGTTAATAGATTACCACCCTCAAGGTACAGTGACCTGCAGGTGGACCAGAAGTAGGTAAGATTCAGATATTGGTAGAGTCGTAGGTGAACACTTAAAATAGCATCCTTAAGCTGTGTTGTGTGTTCCCCATTTCCATTCCCCATTACCACAATATTAGATGTAGTTTCGAATTTAAATGGTAAGGATGGGTTTTTGTCAAGGCTACTAACTTGCCTCTTATTTTTCAGCAGAATACTAAAAACTGCTTTACTCATTCTTTTAAACTTTGATACTTCAGAGGAAACTTGCCATAAATGCAGTTTGACAAGTTATTTAATCTTTGTTAATATATGTTTATATATATGTATATATTTAATATGTATGTTGAAATCACTATAAAATCTTTAAAGGGTGGTAAAGCTTTTAGGTAGAATATTTCATTGTGCTGTATCTTAATATAAACATGGTAAGAGAAAAATATTGAATAAGTACAAATAAAAGCCACTCACTTTTTTTCTTTTTTGTTTCTTTCAAGAATATGAAAGAATCTTCACTTTACTGAAGCATGTGCAAGGCAGTTTACAGACAAAACTAATATTTTTACAAAATGTCATTAAAGAAGCATCAAGGTAAATAAGCTTTTGTATGCTATGAACTGGTGGTGAAATGAGTTCCCATTATATCTATAGGCAATATTTTAATATCCGTTGCGCACCTGTGTTATTTATAACTTTTTTTTGTCTTCTAATTTTGCATGCCTATATCTGAGAATTTGAGCAACTAATTTGAAGAACACTGTGCAATACAACAAATACTGTTGAATTCATATTATTTTGTTTAATGAAATTCTGTATCATTTGCAGTTTTCTTAATATTTTGTATTCTCTTCAATTTTTTTTAATTTTAATAAAAGAACAATAAATATTCAAAACTATGTTGAATTTATGGCCTTATCATGATCCTTTAAAATGAATGATGCTCTGTTCAGTCAAAACAAACAGCAGCAACAACAACAAAAACTTATCTAAAACCTGTATACAGCATGGAGGCCAGGAGATATATATGACATACCAACATATATATGTATACTTACTAGTTTATGGCAAAAAATTCACTTAAAATATTGCCATACATTAATTCTTCAGGAATTAGGTGGTACTTTTTCTCCCTGCAAATTACTGGATACTTTTCAAAATTGTTGTTTTCCCTTCATTGTAGCTTTTTTGTGTCTTTACAGCCTATAATTTTTTAGCCATATGTATTATTTAGTGATTAGAAATATCCCAGGAAGGGGGGCCTGCCCCTTAGCTCAGTTCTTTAGGTGGCTGCTTCAACAAAGCAGTCAGGCTCAGGTTGCTGTGGTTCGATCCCCACAACACAAGACAGCCAGTCATGCCTTGAAGGCATTCGCCCCCCCCAAAAAAAAAAAAAAAAAAAAAAAAAACACTTCTAGAAATAGCCCAGGAAGGTAATATTTGAATGCAGTTTATTTTTACATGGGAAGACAAATCAAAGGGAATAGAGTTAAACAAATGATGATTTTATTTCAATAGCCCTGGGTTATATACTTTAGTATAAATAATGTGAATCAAAATTATACATCTAAAAAGTTCAGTTAATTGGGAAGCATAGTTGTATAAACTTAAAAGCATATTTTATTCATCAAAGTTTTAATTTTTATATTGTTATGAGGAAAGTTAGGGTTTATTCCATCTGACTTTCCAAATGTCAGCATACCCATTAATCAGTCTCCTGGCCTCCATGCTGTATACAGGTTTTAGATAAGTTTTTGTTGTTGTTGCTGTTGTTTGTTTTGAGTGAATAGAGCATCGTCCACTTTAAAGGATCATGATAAGGCCATCAATTCAACATCGTTTTGAATATTCAATCTATTCTGTTCTTTTTTTAAAATTAAAAAAAAATGAGAATATAAAATATTAAGAAAATTGCAAATAATACAGAATTTCATTAAACAAAACAATATGAATTCAACAGTATTTGTTGTATTGCACAGTGTTCTTCAAATTAGTTGTTCAAATTCTCAGATATATACATGTAAAATTAGAAGAAGACAAAAATAGTTGTAAGAAATTAAGAAAAGAGGAAAAGGAAAAAAATGAAAAAAAAATGAAAAAATTAAGCATTAACTGTTCCTTCCCATAAACCAGCAGAAACCTACAGTACAGTTACCCAGTCCATCCTGCTTACATGCATAGATACATGTCCTTCCCCCATTTCTTTTCCAGTCCTTCTCATGTCAGTAATTCCTTTCTTTTGAACCGGTTCATTCCATTTTCACAATATCTATTGTTACCCTTCAGATTTTATTTACTCTTTCAGCTTCTTACTCTAAGGAGACAATATAATGTTTGCACATGTAGGCCTGAGAGTATGATTTCTGATTTCATCCATTTACCTATAAAACTGTCAAATTCATCCTTTTTTAAAGCTGAATGATGCTCCATTTTTAAAAACACCCTATCTTTTTTTATCCATTCCTCAATTGATGGGCATTTGCGTTGCTTCCAAGATTTATCTGTGACAAATTACACTGCTGTAAGTAAACATGGGTGCACATAAATCATTGTAAATATCCAGTATTTTGTTCTTTATGATAATATCTTTCTGCTTTTTTGTCAGCTCAAACCCCATCCTGGATTTAACAGGATACTATGGTGATTATTTGAGAGAAGAAATAGGAATAGCAAAGAGCGTTAGTGCTACTAATGCTTCTATAGATGAATGCAGTTTTGTCATACCTATAAAAATTTAAGATTTGCCACTTGAACTTTTAACTATTTTCTGTGGCTTGTGTTACAGGTATCTAACCTCTGATTTGTTGCCTTTTAATTTGTGATAGTAGGCATGGATGTTATATGCCACTGTTCAGTTTTCATTTTCTTTTGCATTTTGTGAGGAATGATAGTTATATTTTGTTCATATCCCTTTCAACACTTAACTTTCAAAGAACATGAGGAGACTGCAATAATTGCTGAGATCCCAAATCTGAGAATTTGGAATCCTTGTATGTGTTAGGGTACACCTTCCCTTTTTTTTCTTTAGTTATAAGAGATAATGGACTCCTTTCCCATTGTCTGTAGGACTAACTTCTCTGTTTTAAGGACAAACTCTGTTACCATTCTGTACAATAATTTGTAAATCTTCCAACATATTTATGTCATAGAATATTGATTTTCCATTTCACTGTGAAAAATTTTCCCAGAAGCAAAAAATGATTTTATTTTTCAAACATCATGTTGGTATATACTAAGCATTAAAAAGTATTTGAGTGTGATATTATTTATTTTTTTGTACAGGTTTAAAAAACGAATGCTAATAGAACAACTGGAGAACTTCTTGGATGAAATTCATCGAAGAGCCAATCAAATCAACCATATTAATAGCAATTAAACAAAAATAGAATGTGGCCACTTAATTCACTATTTTCTCCAAATACAAAGTAAATACAAGACTGTTGTGATCTTGCATTCATTTTTTGACATGCATTGTTGGATATTTGAAATACTAAAAGCAAGTCAACAGATCCTTTTTCCATCATTTTACAGTGACCTTTTCTTCATTTTGGTTTATTTTTGTAATGTGAAGAAGTATCACTCTAAGAAACATTTTTATTTAACAAACTAAAAATACTCCTCCAAATCTTGCTTGTCATTGACTCTGCGTGTCAATTTCCCTCAGGTTCTATTTTCTTAACCAACCTTTAAATTGTCACCTCTGTTAAGGTTGAATTTTGCCAAAAAAAATTAAAAAGTTACTTTGAATTTTTGGGGAAAAAAGCACATACATTAAAACTAGGTAATGTTTTGTATATACAGTTATTTTGGATATATTATTGTAAGTTGTACAAATGTATTTTGAAGAATATTTAAGAAAAGCACTTTTGTTATCCCATCAATAAATGCTCTATTTTACTCTTGTGTGGTTTAGGAAATAATCACATTTAAAGTAATCACTTAAAAACGTCTGAATAATGCAATTTTAAAGGCCTTGCTTTTTAACATTGGAAAATACATCACTTGAAGTTCATGTTTGTTAAACCTAACTGTAATTACATGTTACATAATCTGCATTGTCTTTTTACTCTATGTTCACAATTTTTGTTGGCCTTGCAAACATATTCCCGTTTCTGCCTGAATAATTGGAATGGCTATGCCTGCCACAGATAGGCAGATACTAACAGGATGATTTTGGATACTATGATTTTTATACCTCCAACATCTTTTCTATTCTCGAAGATTGTTGGTGGCACTAAGTTGAGGTTATTACTTAAGTGTTAAGCTTGGGGTACACTACATACACTGAGGTATCTACTAGCCTTGTTAACAGTTCGGCACCATACCGGGTTTAGAAAAGCCTACCACGCATTAAGGGTTCCAAGGGGATCTCTTCATTTTGCTCTGTAGTTCTGTCACTTAAACTCCCAGCTTTATTGAGAAGCTTGATAGAAGGGAGCTGGATTTAAAACAGCTTTGTTCATTTTACATTTCCTGAGTTACACAGAATGAGGAAAACTAACACCGGTTTCCACCGTGCAATCCAATGTGACTTTATGATCCTGTTACCTGACTTACTCTCTATTCATAGATCACTGCTGTGCCTTTTAGTGGCTTGAGGGGTAACCAGTATGAAAGGTTAACATTTATACAATAGATTTGGGTTAAGAGACAGTAAAATAAACTTATAAAATTATTTTAAAAATTGAAATATTTTTAGTTTGATAATACTTGAAATTTAAATACCCTTTTTACACTTTATTAAAACATTTTTTAAATTCTAAGGGTATAGCAAGATGAAACTAATTTTTTTATGAAGAAAAGCATTTATGAAAGTGGAAGACATTCTTGAAATCTGCTAATTTAGTCAAGGGGATTTGAAACTCTCCCAATACTGAAGACAAACCCTGTCAAGAAAAAGAAGCATTTAATGTAACATTACATAGTATTTTCATACTTTTTTTATATGCATTTCTTTAAACCTTTTTTATCTCTACAAAAGACCCTTCAAGTAAAGCAAGAATTAATTTAGATGGAATTATTAAAGTAATTGTCTGCCATCACATTGCTAAATTCAGCAAGAACTACACAAAGTCATAAATATGCTGTCTGGTTTAAATGTTTTTGTGTTTAGATTTTGAGGTTAATTAAAGTATTAGAAGCCATTCATACAGAAGTTCATACTTAAGAATAAGAAAAAGATTGTTCTTACAACTTGCTTTATCAGAAAGTATTTATTTCCATCTCCGATTCTCAAAGTAGTAATCTTTACACCACTTATATTTAATACATTTTTCATTGTGAACCCTAGAGGAAGTTGGAAAGTAGCAGTTTGCTCTGTCTTTACTTTTCATCTTTTAATATCTTTATCTTTAGGCCTTTTTATAGCCTCAGCCCAAAACCTAGTCACAAGATTTAAAATCCATTAAGACTAAAGCTTTACATCCCATCTTTCTGAGGCTTTTTGCATTTTAAGAAACTGTGGGCATGTTAATTAGGAAAATACTTGCTTTAGAATTCTTGTCAGTCAAGGGGAAAGAGACTATACCTGGAAAGAGTATACCTGTAGGTCACTGAATGACCTTAGGCTTGGCAAATAATATTCCTTGAAAGATAAATCTCAAGGTTTTTAGATATCTTAATGATCAACATTCCATTTGTCAGCTGATTGATTCATTAGCTGCTCTTAGCCAGTAAGATTCATCATTTGGAGTAGTAAAGGCTGAGACTCACTTCTCATTTCTTCAGTAACTACTGTCAGTAGCCATTTGCCTTGTAGAGTGTGAGCAATTATCTCCCAGAAAGAAAGGTAAATAAATTTGCAAAGACTTAGATCTGTGGTGAATTAGGGAACTGATTTTGAATTAACCTTGTATTTTCATCTTGATTACTAAGGTAGTTCTGAAAACCCGTAACATTGACTTAGTGGTATGGCCTTTCCTAGTTCAAATATATTACATTTTTATGCAGTTGAATTTTTAAAAATTCTTTCTCTTATAACTGTTAATGCCTTCTATTGGTTACCAGCTTTTGGTAATGATTTTTCTGTTCAAGGTTAGCGTTGGTTTCTTGAGAGAGTAGAGCTGTCATTTTTTTTCATCTTCCATTTTTGGACATGTATCTTTTCTAAGAAAACTCTGCTGTGTGTTCTGAGTGATAAGTCATTTTCATCTGATCATAATGGGATTGGGATGAGTGTGGTGAAATATATTAAGTGGATATATTCTGTTGATGGTTTTTCTCTCGCCGAATAATCCCCTAATAGGTTATTTTCAAGTGAACAATTATCTTTTTGTCACAAAAAAATGTTCCTTTGATTTCTAGCACACGTTATAGCAGTATGCAAATGATTCTCAGATAAAATGATGTTGACAGTATTTCCTTAACAATTTGTGTAAAATTATGCGTAATTTTCATAATTCTAACTTTCGAATTTTTTGTTTCCATAAATAAAAGTAATGCCTGATGTTTAGTTTAAGTAGATCCACCTTTGCTTGATTTTATTAGTTTTGTTCCATCCTACTTTTATTACACTGTAGATTGCCAACAACTCTTTACTGAGAATCTCTTCTAAGGCTAATAAATGTCGGGGAGGAGGAACGCTAAGAGAAATAACAAGGTTGTATTCAACATTGTTGAAGCTTAATGAACATCTGTTTTTCTCATGTGCTAAAATAAGGCTTTGCCTGTATTGTACCATATTTGGATTGAGATACATTTGTACAATGAGACATAATATAGTAAGATAAATATTTTACTTTTTAATTTTTAAAAAAATCTTTCATTGTACTTATTTGGTACAGGGTCTTGCTGTTTAGCTCAGACTCATATTAATCCTCCTGTCTCGGCCTCCCCAGTGCTGGGATTACAGGCATATGCCACCACACAGGTTTCAGTGACCGGCTCAGCACACCTGGGGGTTCTGGGGTTAGCATGGCATGTGGTACCAGGGATTGAAACCAGATCCTTGCTTATACTGCTGAGTTACCTCCCTGGCCCCAAATACGTGATTTTTGAGAAGGAAGGATAGTATAGAAATCCAAATGCGTTCACCAGAAATACTAGAGTCACTAAGAGTCCCTGGGAAACTTCTCCAATACACTTCAGTGGCCTGAAGAAACTTACCTTCTTTCCAAAAATGACCAGGAAGGGAATTAAGTAGGAATAGCAGGACTGAGTGATAGTTGGGAGTATAGTATAGCTTAGTGGTAGAGTGTTTCTGAGTTCAATTCCCAATACTGCTGGGGTAAAAAAAGGCAGTATGTATCATTTATTTTACTTCCCTGATTTTTCTAAATCCAAAAATAGCAACCTGAATTTTTTTAAAAATACAGTAACTACAAAACAGCTAAGAAAAACAGGCGTAAAATAAGGATAATAGTTTCATTTATATATGAAATAGTCCCCATTCTTGGGATGTAAGACTGCAGCTAAAAGGCTTCAGAAACACCAGCAGGAAGGCCTAGAGTGAACAAATTAGCCCTTGTTTCTAGACAGATGCAGATAAATAATTACATGAATCCTATCAAAAACTAATACCTGTGCTGGGTTCTCTCAGGAAAAAGAGAAATGGCCGGTTTGCTTTAAAAACAGGAATCCGAGACCTTTTCAGTAACAACAGAGCTGCAATGAAGATAAAGAGTAGAATTTCATTCCACTTTCTGTTTAATTAAATTCCCTTGAATTAGATACAAAGTTTGCTTTTTAAGAGTTCTGAGTATACTAGTGACATTTTCTTGTTTAGTGTTTTGATAGGGTGCAAATGGGGAAAACTAAAAAGATAACCCCTTTAAGCCTATCTTTTCAAAAGAGTAGAATACATTCCTTCCTAAAGGTGATTTTTAGAGTAATTCTGTTCCTGGTTTATCAGGCCAGGGTACAATTCCTTTTCGAATGGATGTCTTAGCAAAATATTTTAACATTTTAAAAAACTGTTATGTTACATCTGAGCTTGGAGTCATAAATAGGCTTGAAACTAAAGATTTAACTGAATAAACTGAACAAAGGTGCACACAGTCAAGCAGCATAACCTGGTGTACATGCACTCTGAACGTACCTGTGGCTGCAGATGCCTTAGTTCCTTCTTCTGAAACCTCTATCTTGGCCTTGTGGATTGCTTCAGAAACGTAAAAGCCGTCTAGGCCTAGTCTCAGGAAATGACAAGCAGGTGAATTGCTTAGTTATGTTTTTCTATGTATTTTGTATAACGACTTGTGAACATTTTTAAAGAACAGTCTATAAAATAGTATCTAATACTGCCCACTTACAGTAGGGAGAGACAGTTTAGAAAATTCTCATGTTCCCATATTTTTATGTGACTTTCAAAACCTCAGTTTGGGGACGGGGAGATAGCTCAGTGGAATAAGCGCTTCCCTGACAAGCACAAGTGCCTGAGTTCAATCCCCAGTTCCACCCAAAACAAAACAAAAAACCTCAGTTTGTTAAATTTATCTAATAACTGCCAAAATTAACATTCAATCACTCTTCCATGTTTTTCAGTAATTTTTATAAAAACGTTAAAATATTCAGACAGTACTTCTAAAACTTACAATTAAAAGAATCGCCAGGGTAATTCGATAGCCTGGTAATAATTTTCAGCAAGCTTCTAAATGATTTCCCTTGAATGCTTTTTTTTTTTTTTTTTTTTGGCTGCATATAAAAACAACTTTAAATAGGAAAGTCACAGGTTTGTTACATAGGCTTTAGGATGTGTAATTTGGTATATTCAAAATGTGCCTAATGTATGACTGCATAATTATTAATTAGCTTGCCTCATGGTGTAGAATCTGCAAAGAAAGTGAAAGGTACTAACATTCTGTGCACTAACAGTGTCAAGATACAAGCTTAAAAAATAGGGCTGTGAGTGATAACTTTCAGGAATGGATAGATTTTTAACCATTAAGCATTTTAAAACACTTCTCCAAATATGAAGTGGTCCTTGAAGATACAATAAAGTATCTTTAGAATTATAAGAAACTTTAGAAATTGGCCATTTCAGATTTTATTTTAGAGGAGCCTGCTAAGTCACTTAAGATCACACATCTGATAGGCAGACTTGGGAATACAAAATATAGATTTTTGGACCCAAAGCCCATTTCCTCCCAACCTTCACTCAAACACTACCATCTTTCAGGATGTATGCTCTAGCATGCCGCCTGTGAAGGGTCTGGAGCCTGAGCATTACAATAATTTGATGTATTTCAAGGAAGCTTTATTTACTTGAGGTATGCACATAAGAGGCTGTGGCCCATGGATGTTCTAACATAAAACCATCCCAGAATATAACATGTAGCACTCTTTTAATTAAGGTCTATACAGAATACTGTGAATTGGCTATATTCATTGTGAGGAACAATTGCTTCCCATTATCAGGAAGGGGATAGGAATAGGCCAGAGGAACTGGGGGGGGGGGGCAGAAATCCATGGAAAGAGTTATTTGGTACTAGCAATTGGTTTTTGAGATAAGAAACTAATTTTTCTGCCAAAAACTAGCCCCTCCCACCAGACATGGTGGCACACACCTGTAATTCCAGCACTCCTGAGGCTGAGCAGAAGGATCCCCAATTTAGGCTACATAATGAGTTCAAGGCCAGTGTGAACTGTACATAGCAAGACCCTATCTCAAGAACATAAAAAGTAAATAAAAAATTAGCCCCTCCTCCTAACTCACTGAGCAAACACAGTACCAAAATTATGGATAAAGAAAAGTTCTTTGACAGTCATGAGCAGGATTTACTATCTCTGACCTCATTACTGTCTTCAGGAAAATAGGTTGGGTGTTACATTGTCAAGTGAGTTTCATTTATGTAGCTTTTTTCCATGAGACTTAAGGAATGGTACAATAACAATTTTGTGTTTATTCAGCCCCAGCATCAGCATCTTATGAATTTTATCTCTTTATGAAAGATCAACATTTGTGATAAAATTTGTGAGTTTGTGCTTTTCCTTTGGTCTTATAGACTGCTTGCTTTTGTTAAGTAGCTGCTGAAATGTTATGCAACTAATGAAAACAATGAAAACAACCTAGAAATGTGGGCATGAAGGGGTTCTGGCCTTTTTTGTCTTTGAGTTGGCAACTTCTTGGTGTCATTGAAAGTCATTCAACATGGTTTCATGAAATTTGCTCTTGAACTGGTTCAACTGCTATACTGTTGAAAAGATTCCATGATTAATTGTAGGAGATGTGGGTTGAATTCTACACCTTCATTTTGAGTAGGAAACTTCTCAGAGCTGTTTTTTTTTGTTTTTGTTTTTGTTTTGTTTTGTTTTTGGTAGAACTGGGGATTGAACTTGGGCCCTTGCACTTGCCAGGCAAGCACTTATTCTACTGAGCTATCTCCCTGGCCCCATCAGAGCTGTTGATTTGCTAATGTTCACAGGGAATGTTTATAGAAGAAACACTGTGTGGCATCCAGCAGTGAAACCTTCCACACCATCTCATGTTCCCCACTTTATCAGATTAGCATTTGGAGAATATACTTGGGGAAGCTGTGGCCCACCATAAACCTATTTGTCTTTTTTTTTTTTTGGTACTTGGAATCGAACTCAGGATCCTGTACTTGCCAGGCAAACACTGTGCCTGTGAGTTACATCCAGCTATTTTACATTTTTATATCCAAAGCAAAGTGGAAAGATTCTTCCTCCCAGCACACTGTGCATTCTTCTTTTGTAACATCTATAGGTATTTAGCTTCTTTAGATTGTTAGTTATAAAGGTCAAAAATTACATATTCATGTTAAGTACCTTGCCTGACCTGTATTATAATGCTTGGCACGTGTATGTATGTTCAGTGAGTGTTGAAAGAAGTAACAGTCATCCCTCATCCTTTTCCCCATAAAACAAGCTCACTTTATAAGGAAATGATGTTTCATGTATAGAACCATAAGGCCCAACATAGAATAGGTGTTTGGCAAGTCTGCCAAATGGTTTAGTTCTCTCATCCACTTCGTTGGTGGAGGCCATTATTCTTTTAGAGTGGTTGGTGCTACTCAAGCTGCTTTTGATTCTTCATAACTTGACATTGTGTAAAAAGATTTGTGAAGTGTATGTCGTTGTTTCTACATTTCAGCCTCAGCTCAGCAAGTCGGATAAGCATACAATTTGCTGTTTCTTTTGTCCTAGTTATCATCTGCTTTTGGCAGAATTAATGGCTTTTGAAGTTTGTGCTAGAACTTGTTTTTAGCCTTTCTTGTTTTCACTTCCTTATGAGAAGATGGAGTGTGTGTGTGTGTGTGTGTGTGTGTGTGTGATAGTAGTAGCCCAGCACATAAAGAGAAAGTGCTAAAGGAATCTAACATACTCTAATCCTAGGTTGTGGTTATTTGCTTTCTATATTTCTCTTCCCCTTTTCTGTGCAGCTCACCAGATGGCTGGTGCAATCTAAGTCAATTTATGTACTCTGGTTTGTTTGCTTATTAAAATCATGGTATCAAGAGCTTGTACTGTGTACTGAGCAGAGACTAGAAGCTGATTATGCACATATAAAATCAAAAGAACAAAATAGTTTCTTCAGTTTTGTGCACAAATATTTCCTGGACTATGGGGCATGGATCTGTATGAAAGCTTATTGATCCCAGGATGAATTGGGATTGCTTGAGAAGGGTGTCTCTACCTGATCTTTTGGTGTGAGTGGCACTGGAGTTACTCTTAAAAGCTTCATCTAGTGTCAAATATCTGGTGGGGGTGGGGTGGGGGGAGGAATTAAATGCTAGATTCAGCTGAGCTTTAAAATTATATTGAGTTACTTAAGAAGGAAGACATACGACTTAGGCAAGGGGAGCTTATATAGAAACATTCTGAGGTTTGGAATGAAATGGAAAGAAAATGCTAAATGTTCTGTGTGGCTTCAGACTAGCATAAAACTGCCTGGTGAATCCTTGCTCACTGAAGGCTGCAAGGCCAACATTTTCTGATTGCATCCTCTTCATTACACTCTATTCTCAGTGCTATGCTGTGTATTACAGTCTCTTCATTTTTGCAGTTGAGACTAGGTAGATGAGAGCTACCCTTGTTTTAGGAAGGAGAAAACGGTTTCTTGAGATTCAGTGGCCTTGTCTCAGAAAGCCCAAAGTCCACATGGGCACAGACATGACTACAATCTTGACTAAAGCAGGATACTGGAAAACAATACTTCAGTCAACAAATTTTTACATGGAGGACCCAATAATAAAATTCTTGCTATTGCCAGCCCTATGGTATCTGTCCCTATGACTCAGCTCCATTGTTGTAGCAGCAGAGAAGCCATGGTGATTTATAAGTGAATAGGACTGATGGTTTCAATGATATTTTATTTATAAAAACAGGTAGTGACTATCATTTGCTTGCTTCTGCTCTAAAGGAACAAAACTTTATGGGAAAAGGTTAGAAGGCTAATGTGTCTTGTCAGTAGAAAGCATGAATACAAGCTTCACATTTGGCACATGTAAGTTATTGGATAATTAAATGATTAAGCCATATTCTTTTGCCTGTATTTTTGTTAGTTTCAACAAGTGTAAGTCGATTTGAACTTGAAAAAAAGGCAAGATCTCTAAAAAAGATTTAAAAATAGTGGTTTGATATCAGTGGGCATATGTCTTTACCAACAGAAGGTTTTAAGCTCAGTACCATTTTAGGACACATAATTGATGGCATTGATGGGGGTTAAACAGTCCTGTTGGAGGACACAGAATTTATGTTCCTTCTAGGACGTACAGGGAGAAAGATTTAAGAGGAAACAATAAGCCATGGTGACTAATTAAATGTAATGGTGTGGAAGGAGAGGTCAAGAATGACCCCAAAAGTTGGTTTTTTTCTTGCTTGTCTTGGAGGTGAAACCCAGGACTCTTAAAATTTTGAACTTAGATGATTACTGATATCAGCAGTAACTAAGCTCTGTGGCTGAATGATTAGATTTTACACACGAAGGTAAAATATACTTAGTTCCTCATTTCTTACCCTCTTGGTATTTTCACTGTAGTGTTAACCCTTTCCTTCCAGGGTTGAATTCTGCCTATGTAACTAAGGAAACTTACTGGTGAAGTCAGAGGTCAGTATTTATTAGCTATGCAACTGTATGCTAAGCATTGTCTTGCACACTGTGACCAAGTGGAATTTCTATTTTCATTTTTTATTAAAATTTTTTTTTCACTGTTGGGGTCTAAATCCAGGCCTGCATATGTGCTAGGCAAGCACTTTATCACTGAACTACCTTAGCCCAGAGATGGTGGGCCTTTGCTACTCTATACTAGAGTATTCTTCCTGCGTTTCAGTTGATAAATAACTGCCAGTTAAGTCTCTTCAGACACGTTTAAAGCCTATGTGAAGTCTTATTAGATCAAATTCCTATTATTTTTTATGACTACATATAAATACTGTGGAAAAAAAAGCTTTAGAAAACTTCCCTGTGTTATGATGATCTAACATTCAAACTAGTGATTTTCAAGTTCCTCAGGAAAGGGGAATGTCAAGTCCAGTGAAAATGCCTGCTAGTGTCATCTCCACACAGATTTACTATCCATAGTGGAAACAAACCTGAGTTTTGAGTTGGCAGTATTTTAGCCTATGGTCCACTAAGAGGATTCCGAATATGGGTTCTAGGGTTCTACTCTCTTTTATATTTGATGTAATTTCAAAGCACAGGGAAACAACCCTTATTGACTGTTAGCAGCATGTTAGCCATAGACAAAAATTCAGTGCTCATGTGGGAAAGAGAACATTTGAGGGCAACATTACAAGTGCATGCGTAATCTGAGGAAAGGAAATTGGATAGACGACGAAAGTTGGAGATGTTCATTGGAAAAGGACAGAAGAGGTTTAGGGACTGATGAAATGAGAGAATGCAGAAACAGAGTGATTGTGAGCCTGGCCTGACGGCAGTAAGGCAAAATGAATTCTATCACTGCTCAATGTTACTGGGTGGCTTTGATCATGACTTGAGAGCAGAGGAAGGGTGAACTTATGGTGTCACGGCCACTGACTTCCCACTGAAAACCATGCTGGACAGTTCTCAAGTAATGTCCTTTCACCAAGTCTAACCCAAATTCGACTATCAGAAACAAAGCAAAGTACTTGATTTTATGTAAAGTTGACAACAAAAGGAAATAAACCCTTTAATCAGTATAACAAAAGTATTTCAAGCAATGTCAAACATCTTAGAAGGAGATTTGTTACCTGAAATTCCTTTCAAGTTAGCTTTGAGTGGATCAAAAAGATCAGTGACTCCCCAAGATCTTAAAATGCTTTTTAGGTTGAATTGATTTTGGATCCTAAATCTAAAAAGCAAAAACAAACCATCACATTTGGTATAGAATTCCCACCTAATATACTTTAATGCTCACCACACCTGCCCCCAGATTGTGCCCCTGGAGTTCTTGCATTGCTTCTTTCTATAAGCCCTCCATTCTGACTAACCACAAGTCTTGTCCACCTCTTTATTCTACATGCTCTTTATTCTATGCCTCTCCTATTTTCTTTGATTGCTTTTGAATGATTATCCTAAACTGACCCCATATCTCTGCAGCTGTTTTGTGACCTTTGGCTCTTAACCCCACTAACACTTGTTCTACTCTTAAATGTGTAGACCATTTTACTCCATATTACCATTCTTTATGATATCATAAACTACCTCAGAAGAGAGGTTATTTGGTTGCATTTTCACTTCAGGGTAATAATATTCAATGAGTACTTAACATTGTGCTAAACACTGGTAAGAGCTTTATGTGGATTACCTCGTTTCTTCATATAGCTATGCTATTATTATCCTTATGTTGAAGGTGGGAAACCTGGCTTAAGGAATTAAGACACATGCCCAAGATGACCTAGTGATAAATAAAATAGTGTGCCTCAACTCAAATCTAGGCTCTGATCATTTGCACTGTGCTACTTCATATTTCAGGTAGCATCATACATATTGTAGGTACAGAAAGGAAGTTGTGATTAACTAACAAAGTCTTATTAACATGCTTATATTGGATGAGACATGTTTTCATGTTTACCTTGTGCTTTTGACACACAGCAGAAGGAATGCAGCTTTGGTTTGCCTGTAGGCTCATATAAGCAGAATGTAGGAACATACCACCTTTATACTATTTCGCAAGAGCATGACATTTCAAAATTGACTGTTGAAGTATCCTTTAGAATGGGGACTATTTTTCTTTGAAAATACAAAAGTTGAAAATGGAAGTTAGGTGGTCTTTTTCTATAAACCATGCAGAACTTGCAGGAGAGTGAAAATACTGGACAAGACCATCAATTATTTCTATACAAGACAATATGGCCAATTTCTTTTTTTAAATGTATTTGGTACAAGGTCTCACTATGAGGCTCGACTTATAGTGATCCTCCTATTTTCAGCCTCCCCAGCACTGGGATTACAGGCATGTGCTACCATGCCCAGTCTCAGTGGCCAACTCAGCATGCCCAGGGGCAGGACCGTTATAGCATGTGGTGCCAGGAATCCAACCCCTGTACTTACCTAAGCAGGTGCTTAGTTCACTGAGCTATCTTGCCAGCCCTGTGGCCAGTAGTTTGTTGGTTTTTTTTTAAGCATCAGTCTTGCTCATAAACTTTTGACATCTAAATACTAGAATACAGGTATTAAGAGTATGTACTTGGGAATCCAGTGCCTGGGTTCTGCATCCTGGCTCAACCTCTTATTAACAGAGAAATTAAATACTTTACCTCCACAGAGGGTTATATGACCCACCTTTGCCTCAGTGTCCTCATTTGTGAAACAAGCATAATACTGTTTGTAGGAATGTGAAGATCACATGAACAGGACAATGTTTAGCACAGCTCATAACATTTGTTATCACTGGTTTTCTTGTTTCACAAAAAAGTAAAGGTCTATTTAAAACCAAGGGCAGTGATTATGGTGGGTGGTAAAATGGAATAATACCATTTTCAGTAAATTAAAGATTTCAAAGGTAAGGTATGACTATAAAAGTTAAGGATAATATTCATATATGGCTATGAAGACACCCAGGAAGAAGACTGCAACAATAGCTTGAGTAGAAAAACCAACCAACCAACATAACTTTTTCCAAAACTGGAGAAGGATATCATAAGAAGACTGCAGAGTGATATCCTTTATCAATATAGATTTAAATTCTTAATTAGCAAATTGAATCATATGAATCCCACCACAACTAAGTGAAACTTATACCAAGATGTAAGATATGTTCAACATAGGAAAATTAAGATAACATTAATAGGCTAAAGCACAAAGATCATCCTATCAGTAAGATACAGAAAAGACATTTGCTAAAATCCATCACCTTTTTATGATTAAAAACATCAAATACTTAACCAATTTGGGATATAAGATAACTTACTCTATTTCATGAAAGATCTATAAAAACCCCACAGCTCACAACATACTTTCTAGTGAAAGACTGAAATCTTTCCCTCTAGGAACAAGATAAGGATACTCGCTCTTACCACTTCTATTTCACATTTTATAGCAGGTGGATAAAACTTTAAGGGATGGTATCTATCATAATCCCCTATTCACCTTAGAAATAAGAGACAGAGGCAGAATTCAATTTAGTTTGACCCCTGCCTGAAGTATTTACATAGAAGATATCTGGGCCAGGCCACTTTCCCTTTTAGCCTTGCCTAAATTACCCCATCCTTCACTCCTTCCCCTGCCCTGTCAAAACTTCACAAACATGTAGGAGATGAGGAGACACGAATAATTAAGGGCAATAAGAGCCAGACCATTTGGCTTTGCTTAGCCATAAATCCCTCTGCCTGAGACCTTGCACCTATAGGATATGAGTGGCATCACATTCCTGCCTGATCACCTACCAGCTTAAAGAAACTATATAAGCTGGTAGGGAACAAAGAACTGGGCCTTTGTGTTTTCCCAATTTGCAGGTCAAAGCACATTGGTCACTGGCTAAATTAATAAAGACTGTAATTCCTATAATTTGGTCCCCTGTGAGCAATATATCCAATCCCGGCCATTACAATTGTATTAAAAAAAAATGGCATCCAGATTGGAAAGGAAAAAGTAAATCTTTTTCTACTTACACATGATATATGAAGAATTCACAATTAGTTCTAATAGGTTTTTATATATAAACTCAAGGTATAAAGTCAACTGTTTCTAAACCCTACCAATGAACAATGTGAAAATAAAATTGAGAAAGCAATTCCATTTATAACATCAAAAGGAACAAAATACTTAGAAATAATTTAGCAAAAGAATTATAAGACCTACACAGTGAAAACTATAAAGCATTTTTGAAAGAAAAACTAAATGAAGGATATCCTGAGTACAAGGCTTGTAATAGTTTGTTAGCAATAACTCCCAAATTGTTTTACAGATTCAAAATGAACGTTGTCTAAATCTCACTACCTTTGTAGTGGCAATTAGTAAACTGATCCTAAAACTAAATGGAAATGCAAGGGGCCAAGAAAAGCTTGAAAAGAAGCAAAATGGAAGGACTTACACATCCTGATTTTTAAATATATTAACTATAGTAATCAAGACCATTTGGCATTGGTAAAAACACCTACAAGATAGAATTGAGGTCCAGAAACAAACTCATGTATTTGGTACTTGGGTTTGATAAAGGTGCCAAGAAAATATAAAGAAGAAAAGAACATTCTTGTCAACAAATGCAGTCAGGAGAAATGGATAGTAACAACCAAAAGAATGAAGTTGGACCTCACAGTTGACCCTTGAACTCCATGGGCTTAAGCTGCATGGGTCCACTTATATGTGGATTGTTAAAAAAGTTATGACAATTTGGAAGAACTTGCAGTAAACTCTATACCCTAGAAGTACTAAAAAATTAAGGAAATTAAAGATCATGTCTGTGGAGCCAGTTCATCTCTCCAAAACATTGAATATTGCTGCAAAAAAAGTGATCTCTTAAGGTGCTCATGTATTTTTCCACAGTATATGATACACAAAATGCAACATATGTGTTGATCAAATATTTGTGTTATTGGGGGTAAAGTTGCTGGTCAAGAGCAGACTATTTACACTTAAGTTTTAGGGGAGTCAAAATTTATACACAGATTTTCCACTGTGAGGGAGTTTGGGTTCATAACACCCAAATTGTTCAAGGGTCAACTGTACAGCAATTATTTCAAAACATACAAATTTTAAACCCTCCTTAGAAAAAAACCAGACATACGTCTTTATGATCTTATGTCACTGTATCCCATAAAATTCAAGAAACCAAAGAAAAAATAGATTATTTGAACTTCATCAAAATCAGCAACTTTGTGCTTCCAAGGACAGTATCTCCAGTGGAAAGATAGATATAGAATGGGAGAGGACATTTATAAATCATGTATCTGCTAAAGAACTCATATCCAAAAACTTTTAAAATTACACCTCAAAAAGAAAAAGGCAACAAATTTTAAAATGGGCAAAGGATCTGAATACATATTTCTCTAAAAAAGCTATATAAATGACTAACAAGCTATGAAAAAGTTCTGAGGAAAAACACAAGTAAAAGCTACTATGAGATAGCACTTCACACTAGGTAGGATGACAGAAAAATGGAAACCCTCATGTACAGTTTATGAAGATATAAGATGAAACAGCCACTTGGTAAATATTCTGACAGTTTCCCAGAGATGATCCAGTAACCTTATTCTTATGTGTATCCAAGATAATAAAAAATATAGATTTCTCCTCAAACTCACATGCATTTGAATGCTTGTAGTAGCCAAAAAGTACAAACAAGCAAAAAACTGTATTGGTACTCAAGTAATTATAAGTTAATGAATAAACAAAATATGGTATATCTATGCAGTGAATATTATGCAATCATAAAAAGGAAAAAAACTCAGTGATTTATGCTACAGTAAGAATGAATGGTAAAAATATTATGGTAAGTAAAAGAAGGTAGACACAAAATGCTACATACTGTATAATTTAATTTGCCTGAAACATCCAGAAGAGCCAAATCCATACAGACAGAGTGGATTAGTGGTTGTCTAGGCCTAGGGTGGGGGTATGAGAAATAATTGTTAATAAGTATGGGGTTTCTTTTTGAGGTGATGAAAATGTTCTGGAATGATTAGATAGTAGTGATGGTTGGAGAGTTTTGTGGACACACTAAAAACTTATGAATTATGGATTTTTTTTTCTGAAACCAGGGATTAAACTCAGGCCCTTGCATTTGCCAGGGAAGCACTTATTCCACTGAGACATCTCCCTGGCCCCCAAATTATGGATTTAAAAGGAATGAATTTGGGGGCCAGTGAGATATCTTAGTGGGCTGAAAAGCCTGCTTAAGCAAGCACAGGAACCTTGGTTCAATCCCAGCACCACACACTATGCCAGCCTTGCCCCCAGGGTGGGTTGAACCGGCCACAGAGTCTGTCATAGTGACGCATGCCTGTAATCCCAGTGCTGGGGAGGCTGAAAACAGGAGGATCACTACAAGTCCAAGCTACATAGTGAGACCCTCTAACAACCAAGTACATCAGTAAATAAATAAATAAATGAACAATTAAAAATAAAAGGAATGCATTTTCTACTGTGCCATCTCCCTGGCTAAAAGGAATGCATTTTATGTTATATGAATTATACTTCAACTTAAAAAAAAAAAAAAAAAAAAAAACAACCCTTAGAAAAGCTAGACCATACATGGTGATGATCAGCAGCTCCCTGAAGAAAAGTAAAGCTCATTATGAATATATGAGATTTGGTTGATTTAAAAGAGACACTTACCCGCTATAGTTTAGATACGGTTCAAATGTGTTCTTCAACATTAATATGCTAGAAGTATGATGGTGATAAATTTTAAGAGGTGAGACCCAGGGGAAAGTGATTAAGTCACTGGAGGGACCACACTCTGAAAGAATTAATGTAGTTCCTGCAAGTAGTAACCATGAAGGTGTTCTTATAAAAAAAAGCAAGCCTGAACATTAAATCTCTCTGCTTTTCCGTCTCACCGGGTGATCTCCCCCGTCTTACAAGCACCTCTGCCATGACAGTGTCGCCACGTTATGATGTAACCAGAAAGCCCTCACTGGAGCAGAGCAGACACTGGCATCGTGCTCAGGATCTCCAGAATTATGTGTTCAATGTGACTTCACTTTTTAAAAATAAAGCACCCAGCCTCATGTACTTTTTTAAACCAATAGAAAACAACCTAAAATAATATCATATCTAATATCAGAAAAATGCTCAGGTTTAGCATCTTAATATGTAGATGCTTTGTGCTCATTAAATGAATATTTGATATTTAATGATAGTCTTTCTTGTGGGCATTACATGATCTTAAACACTCATTTTTGGTTTTCTTGATTATTTCTTTTTTAAAATGTATTTCGTACAGGTTTATAGGGTCTCACTACACAGATCGTGTTTGTAGTGATCCTCCTGGTTTCAGCCTCTAAAGTGCTGGGATTACAGGCACGTGACACCATACCCAGTCCCAGTCACCATCTCAGTGTGTCCCAGGGGTGAGGCTGGCACTGCAAGCCGGGGATTGAACCCCGGTCCCTGTGTCTGCCTAAGCAATCTTGATTATTTCTTTAACATGCTATATTCCTATTGAAGACTAATAGTCCTTATGCCTTTAATTTTTTTTTCAAATCAAGTGTTACTTTGGAAGTTAGAAACCATAATTATCCCAGAAGCTACTAATGAACAGCTTGGTGATGTTTAATCCAAAAGTACATCTCATTGTCATGCAATGCATTGCTGCCCACAGTGTGTAAAATTTATGCTGTTTTCTTTCTTTCTTTCTTTCTTTTTTTTTTTTTTTTTTTTTTTTTTTTTTAAGGAAAAGAGCATGTGTTTAGTATAACAGAGGAGGTTATAGTAAATGATGAATGAATGATTGGAGGGAACTAGGAGCAAATTCTTACCCAAAATTGGCTTTGTGTCTACCATTGTCCAAAGTCTAAACTTTAAATCTAGACCTAAAACAGTTTTGATTTCTTTTACATTTGTTCTCTTAATGAGTTTCAATTTTAAAGCAAGTTCTCACAGATTGAATTTAAAACTATGCATATGCAAGTCAAATGGTCTGTTACTGAGCTACATCCCTGATCCCTGATACTTTTTATTTTGAGATGGTCTCACTAAGTTAACTAGGCTGGTTTCAAATTTTTGATCCTCTTGCCTCAGCCTCCTGAAGAGCTGGAACTACAGGTGCATAGAAGTATACCCAATAAGCTAGCTTATAAAAACTAGGTTGGACTTGCTTGTGGAATGGCCTCATTTTTCTGAAATCTTCTACACTTTTTGGACAAGAGTCTTAATAGTCTTAGAGAGATTTAAAAAATTATCACAATAAGGTCAGCCACTACTACTAATTGGGTCTCTAAGGTCCTGCCTTCCCTCCCTTTCTTCTTTGTTCTATGTTACTTTTCAGAATCACTGCTCAACGGTTTGGTTTTTTTGTTTTCTTTCTTTTTTTATTGTTGTTTGTTTCCTGAAACAAAGTTTCGCTGTGTAGTTCAGACTGGCTTCGAGTTCATTTTGTAGCCCAGGCTGGCCTCAAACACGCAGTGATCCTCATGTCTCAGCCTCTCAAGTGCTGGGATGCCTGGCAAGGCTTTGGGATTTCTAAGAGCCAAATTATAAGACAGCAGAGAGTTCTCAATAGAACTTAATGGAGCCAGGAAACCCCATTTCCCTGGGGCCTCTTCCTTTCATTGGCTGTTCTTTACTATTATTATTATTATTATTATTATTATTATTTTTTTTTTTTTTTTTTTTTGGTGCTGAGGATAGAACTCAGGACCTTGTGCTTGCCAGGCCAACTGAGGTATCTCCCCAGCCCCTACCTCAGCTGTTCTAAGAGGAACAGCCATCCATCTCCTGAGTGCAGCAGCAGGCTTAGTTTTCTCTCTGTTTCACAGTAAGCTGCTTTTCTGTCCTTCACTGAGCGTCTCTCAGATATAACAAGAAGAAATGGATTGATCTGCTCCTGCTGCAGAGATCTGTTCAAATGTGAAGTTTGGGGCTTTGCTCTGGAGTCTGAATACTTGGTTTTGAGAGGTTGACTTTATTTGGAAGTTAAGCTCACCCTCTGTTCTGGCTGTGTTGGATCCCACTTTAGATCTTGGCCTAGCAGCTGGGACTCTTTGTATTTGTTGTCGTTCTAACAAATGGGTTTATTTTAACTGCTTGATAGAGAACAGCCAAGGTCTTTGCCTTTGCCAGCTGGGAGCCATGGCCATGAGGTGACACCAAGGCCACGAGTGGACAGAGAACTCATATGTTGACTGTGCATGGCATTCCTCCTTTGGCTCTGGCCTACAGATTTGCTGTATTTTTACTCTTATTCCAAATGCAGCAGAGAAGCTCGTCCTCTGACGTCCTAGCTGGAATCCCTTTGTAAAAATAATGTATCTTGCTAATGTGCATTGGAAAAGCAAAAGCTAGTGTCATCATTTAACTTTTTGGAAATTTGCATTTGTGCCTACTGGGCTTATATAAAATACAGGTTCCCTCCTACCCAGAACAAATGAAAACCTTCGACAGGGAGACTTTTAAGATTTGAATAGTTATGCCTTAATCTGGTTTCTGACTGGAATTATATTTGCTTGGTTACATAAACAATCTTGCTTCTTGAGTTTTGATAAAATGATAGATATGATATGAAAAATGATAGTTGTCTTAGGATGTGATGAAGCTTGGGGCACTGTGCTCTCGGGGACTGCAGTGTGCTTCTTCCCCTCCCTGACAGCTGGCTGTGACATGACACTGCAGCAAGAGGCCTGGGGTCTCCAATCTCCCTAGTGAAGGTGGAGTTGTCGTGTTGGGAAGGCTCCAGGAAGTTGGTAGCTTTCATTCTGTGCCATGACAGCAGTGATTCTGGTACTCGTGGACTCGGACTCTAAGGAAACTTTTCCTGTGTCCTAAGGGTGTGCTAGGTACCAGCCCTGTGAATAGTGACAGACCCTAGAGTCAGACCACCTGGCTCAAATCCCAGACCCTGTGGACTGCTGGTGCAGATTACCTTGTGAGGGGACCATGGCTGCTCACCTGGGGAGGAACACATCCATCCTGGCTCTCCTCAGCCTGCTGGTCCAGAGGTGAAGGACTCTGGCTGTAAGCTGTGGCTCAATGTGGCCCAGGGGTGTGTCTCTGTCCCGGGGCAGCACCAGGAAGAGACTTGCTGCACTTCCCAGGTATGGCAGCTCCAGCAGTGACACCTGATGGCCTATGGCATCCTGGAAGTGGCCTGGAGGTTCAGTAGGTCACAAATTAGCTCTGTCCTGGAAGTCAGGGAGACCAAACAATGCCAGCCCTTGGGAGGAGATGGTTTATAGTTTGGGAAACAGTGAACCAGGTGTCTACCTCACCCCTATGGAGTAGTTTGACGCTAAAGACTATCTGACACAGTCCTTTATAGATCTGAGGCCCAGAATCTCTTAGATGTCCTCACAGGGCCCCAGTCAGAAAGCCTGCAGCACTATGTATGGGTGGGGACAATGGCATGAAGTAAAACCATATATATTGCCTTAAAGGGGCACCCCATCCAACCCTGGCCCACAGGGACCCCAGGCCTTTTATACTGCATCTCCTTATCTCTCAATAAAAGTTCTAAATTCAGATGTCTTATGAGATTTCTCAGCTTCTAAAACATGACACAGACTTGACATAAGCTGAGTCCAGGCTAGATTTGACCTGTGACCTAAAAAATAGTTTCAGGATAGGCACAAAATAAAAATGGTCAGCTGAGGACAAGTCCAGGGCATCAGCTGAAGCAACATTCTAGAAGAGAGTGATAGGATAGGTTGCAGATGGCCATAGACACAGATAGCCAGTTACAGGGAGAATAAGAGGCAGGCCAAGTAACAAGGAATAGACAGTGAATAATGTAAACAGTCCAGGTGGGCAGGGGAGTCTCATGATGGACTGTAGTTTAGGTCCTGTCCCTAGGAGGATGAGGAGACCAAGGACCTGGTATGAGTTGGGAACAAGCTGCCAGGCAACTTAAAGCAGAATCTTAGGCTCAGTAGAAAAGATGGGCGCATAGTTCCCACTACATAGTTCACATACTCTACAGATCCTTAGTCTGCATCCACTATGTACCAGCTACAATACACCTTGTGTCCTGTGAAGAACCAGAGTCATGTGGAGCCTGTCTGTTGCAATGCAGCTGACAGTCAAACTAACCTATGAGGTCAGAACAGCAATGACAATAGGACAAGAACAGGAACTATAATGAACCATAACCAATAGATGCCCTTTAGTTTTCATCTCACAAACACACAAATACATTTCCTGAACACCTACTATGTGTCTGAATGGGAACAAAGAACTAGCTAGGCTGATAAATCAAGGTTCTGACAGGAGCAATGGGACCTTCAGCCTGGTAGGCTTTGGGGAACCTTATGGCTCAATCTTCATGCTGGCTCCATACTCACTCTATGAGAGTACCTTCCAGTGATGTGGTTTGGCCCAGAAATGAATGTGGTTTTCCATTAACTCCTTTCTTACTAAATGTAGAGCAGAATGTGGAGCATGAAATCAGGTTCTTATCCCCATCTGCATCCTCATCATCTTGCTGCCACACACTGTCCAGTGGACCCACCCTTTGTCTTTTGTTTAAATGACAGCCCAGGTGATGATATCACGGAGAAACACAACTTGATCAAAGCCTGAAGAGCACAGGCCTGGGCTTCCCTCTGCCACCCACCTGGCCCGTGCTTGCCCTCCCTTCCTCTCACCCAGGGGGAGGGGCTCACCGTAGTTCACCTCAGCCATCTGGTGCATCATGGGGACCTGAAGGATAAGGCCACTGGCACAGGTGAAAGGCAGAGGTTGGGAGTCCATGGAGGAGAATGTCCTCTGCCAAGAGCTTTGGAAGGTCATGGTGCTCACAAGGGCGAGCTGGACAGATGCAGCACCGGCCTGCTCCCATGTTGGGCTTCCTGGGCCCCTCCCTGGAGGGAGGCAAACAAGCAGTATGGTTAAAAAAAAAGTGCAGAACACAAGATATCTTTTGATAGTGTGGTATTGCAATGCCCCTCTCTTTTTTTGTTTTTGTCTCATGTTTCACAATGTCTTTTCCATTTACTCAAAGCTACTTAATTCCTTAAGTTCCTTGTACTGTGGAGGCTTAAGGCTGTACTAGCTGCTCTCAACTTGCTGTTCTGGGCATGGGCCATGGAAATCGGAGGGGAGAACTCAGAAGTCACCCTGAGTCCTGATACCTGCACATCTGCAGGTAGGCTGTCACCCGCTTATTAGTATCTGTTAATTGCAGCACACTCATGTGTTTATGACTAGCTGTCACTGAAGATCATACTCTTCCTTCCTGAACAAGAATGCTCTCCCTGCATCTGTCTGAGCTATTTCCCAGGAACCATTAGGCACTTCCACCCCCAGAGCCCTGGACTAGGAGGTGTGATGTGGAAGTGGCACATCGTGTCATCCTTTAATCCCCATTGCCCACACTGAGCCATGTCCTTTGCTGAACCTTTGCTGAGAAACTGCCACCCACAGCATGGTTTTTAGAGGTTTGGGGTTAAAATTCATTCATTACCAAAGAGAGGAGCAGGCAGGAACAGACAGCCTTTATATAGTCAGCTTTTTTTTTTTTAATATAGTCAGTTTTTAAGCATTTATTGATTTAATAAACACATACTTCATGCTCGTCTCTGTTCTATATTCTTGAGCAAATTCTCACTTACTTGTTACTCCTCATTTTACAGGCTAGGGTCGGAGAAGTTGGTCAAAGTCCCATACTTGTGAGGGGAAAAGTCACCCTTTAGCCAATTATCAAGATAGAAACTTTGGATTTGTACCTGAGCAGCCTGGTCGTGGACTTGTGCCCTGGATGACTCAGTGGGAAAGCCAGCCTTGAAGTTGAGAACAGTAAGGGTGACCTTGGGGGGGGGCGTTGAGGGTGGAGGCTGAGACATAGAATTTACACTTCTTTAATTAATAGGCAAGATGTTTAGCATTCTAGAGAAGTGAGAGTATTGAAACTTGTTCAATTACAGTGCATATCCTATTGCTTTCTTCTCTGCTTTAGAAACAGCAATAGCTCTTGAATGTTCTCCATATTTCTAGGTAATTTTGCAGCTCCCAGGGCTGCTGGAGCCAGGCCATCTGGGTGAGAATCCTGGTTTGTGGACCCGTGGCAGACAGGAGACTCAGCCCTTGAAACCGCAGTTCCTTCAACTATAAAATTGGGACAGTACTAGTGTCCACCTCCCAGAATTACTGTGGGAGTGAACTGAGATAATGATCTTCAAAAGGTTCTAAATAAATACATGCTAGGTAAAGATCAATAATTCCCATCTTTGGGGCTGGGGAGGTGGCTCAGTGGAATAAGTGCTTCCCTGGCAAGCACAACGACCTGAGTTCAATCCCCAGTTCTGCCAAAATAATAATAATAATAATAATAATAATAATAATGATAATTCCCGGGCCGGGGAGATGGCTCAGTAGGATAAGTGCTTCCCTGGCAAGCGCAAGGGCCTGAGTTCAAACCCCGGTTCTGAAAAAAAATAATAATTCCCATCTTTTTAAAATAATAATTACAATGGTATGGTGGCAGTTGATGTTTCTCTGAATCATCCCTTGTTGTTGGAAAGTTAGGTTTTACATAGTCTTTTTTTAACCTAAGTAAAACAGAGCTGAACATCTTATTTCATATAACTTTATCTTCTTTTGAATTATTTCCTTACCCTAAATTGCCAAGCAATCACATTTTTTGGCCCCTCCTGCATTTCGATATCATAATTGTAGATGAGGCAAAGCTAAGCGGAAACTCACTGCGAGCAGAGAGGCAGAGGACACAGTCTGTAGGGTATGTCCAGAGATGGGAAGCTCTGAGAGCATCATCTCTATGTGTGTTTTTGTGCTTGGGTGTACCTGTACGCATGTATGTTTATGTGTGTGGCATAGGGGTGGGGGTGAGGAGAGAAGCAGAAGGGGACAAGAGTCAGCTTTAGTCGCTTCACAGAGCTTCCCCCATGTGCAAGGTTTCCCAAGGGGACCAGTTTTTGCTATAATTGAGGGTGACCTGAACACCATGACTTCTGACAAGCAATGCATGATACAGCCCTGGCAGTCCTCTGATCTTAGGAGGGGAGTAGCTTTTGCCTACCCGCGGGTCGTCCAGATTCCTCTTTGTTGGTCTCGATTGTGGTGCCATTGGATTCACTGAGGTCAGCTGGCTGCACACTGCTGTTGGCCCACAAGGATACGTGCTCCACAAAGCAGGGCGACAGAGGTGTTCCCACTTGTACAAAAAGGGTGCATGTCAGCTCTGTCTTGATGCCTTGGCTGGAGTTGAGTAGTGCAGTATAAACAGTACGTAAGAAATCCCTCACTCTTGGGTCTGTGAAGAAGGAATTGAAATAAGTCAATGATGTGTACAAGTAAGGAGCTAGCATAACCCATCTGCACTCTGTATTTAAATGGGACCTAAGCAATGCCACTCTTATTTTCATAAGGTGCATTCACTATATGTGGTCAATAGGATAAGTCATAGCTAACTTACTCAGGAATTAGTCTTAACTTACAAAGTAATAGCTGAGAAGAAGGCATGCTAGTTTTGAAAGAACTGTGGCTGTAGTGAAGCTCAGCTGCATCCTGTAGATGATAGAGATTGTTTTTCCCAATTCAGAAACTTTCGCAAGCAAAGGAGGAGAGATTCTAGAACTGGAAAAATCACGAGTGTGCAGGACAATGGACTTTCAAACACTAACAAAGTCAAGAGCTTTATGTCCAGTGTCACAACAGTGAAGTGTGAGGGGTTGGATGTTCCGCTGTCAACAGAGCTTGGTGGGGCCTCAGATCCATCTCCATAACTGCGTAGTATAAACCCGAGTAGCATTTCAGTACAGCCTTTTTTGTATTTATGCTTTCGATTTGAGAAATATAGAGGAAAAGTGAGATGGGAACTCCTCCCATCCTCCATCTCTCTGAGACCCAGCAGACAATTAATGTTATTAATGTCAGTGAGCTGCTGAAGAAATGTTGAGAAAATCACCTTTTGAGAGAGTGGCTAACTTCCACCTTCTTGGGCTGCAGCTGGACTACTATTTATTTACTATTTACATAGGAAACTGCTTCCTTCTCTGTAGAATCAATAGTGGATATCATTTTCATGCTATGATTTGCAAGCTGAAGCTTCTAGTCTCCCTAGGTGTCCTAGGGCAGAAATGAGACCTCCCACCCACTGCTGAGTCTGCACACAGTTGAGCTCCATGAGCTTTCCACTCCTGACCATGCAGGGTAGATTTTACTCTACTGAGGAAGGCTATCTCCATTTCTGGGATCACATCCTTGTGGAATGTTGACCATCTGTAGAGAAGCCTTGATCTCAGGGTCTGCAGTGCAGAATGGCTTTAGGAATGGTCCTGAGCTGTCCTCTGCACCCTTCTGCCGTCTCTGAGCCAGGGCCAGCAGTCCTATAGTGAGGAACATGAATATAGCACAGGCAACTGGCTTGAAGTAGATTTTAGTGTGAATGTTGTCTCCACCTGCACTGACTGGTCCCTGCCTGTTACACTTAGGAAGGGGCTTTTCTACCTGTGCTATAATGTGCATCACCAGGTAAAAAATACCAAGAGGTGACAGTGGTGATAGGTACTGCAGCCTGCTCTGTGTTTCTGGTTACACTAAATCTATCCCAGAACATTGTGATTGGGGAGCTATTATTATCCCTAATTTGTAGAAGACAGATCTGAGGCTCAGGCAAATTTTTGGTGTCACTTGGTCAGTGTAATCACCAAGTTGCAAGTGGCAGTGCCTTACTGTGCTGTCTACTCAGAGGGTGGAGAACTGGTGGGCTGAGGAGGTGGCTCTAATAAAACACTGAGTGGGGGAAGGAGGAAGGAGAAAGCCACAGGAGCTATGCTGACCAAGAGCATAATGATGGGAGTGTGTAAGAGGGTTCCTAGGACAGGTACAGACTGGGAAACATCCCATGAATCCTGCTTCACATCAGTTTTTAGTTCATCTGACAGCCCAGCATGGAGAGAGCCTTCCTTTTTAATAAGTCCACAGGGCACAATTTCTTGAATGTGATTCAGAATGCCATAGGTCTTAACTTTGTAAAGTTAATGGATATAAAATTCTCAAACTATAAGAACTCTCTTTTTGAAGCTGTTAGTTGCCTGCACACTAAATGGGGATTTCTCTTACGATGCTCTCCAGTGGGTTTGGTGGGCTGAAATGATAATGAGGCCGCCTCTGGTGAGGAGAGAAGGCAAGTTATGTACACAGGCATGCAAGTGCTCCATAACTTAAGGGGGCTGAGGAATTACAGAAAGCATAGAGGACTGGAGCCATAGAGAAGGACTTTGAATCTCAGCTCTGTTGCTTACCTGTTGGGTGAGCTGAGTTTGGCCAAGTGATTCATTCACCTTATTGTAAAATGACCATGTTAATAGAGGTCTAGAGACTGTACAACATCTCCTTGGGGAGGGGGACAAATAGCATAATGACTTCGAAAGTATGGAAGAGAATTCCAGGGACTAGATCACCTTCATTTTTGAGGCTTTTGCTCCTAGTACTCCTCTTATGCTTAATAGAACATGCTAAATTGTCCTGTATTAATTTACCTAAAAGAACAGTGAAAATTTCTAGAAGCTGGGACATTGGGAAATTGTGTTTAATATAGTAAAACAAGGTGTTTGAGAGGGCAGCTCTGGTCTCTGAGCTGATCTGGGGCTGCAGGCCCAGCAGCAGGGCTCCCGGTTGTCACATAGTGTCTGTATACACAGGAAGAGGGCAATGCTGATGTACTGCCCTGTGAACTTGGGCAGATCTTTCTGCTGATTAAACAGGCACAGTGCTGCCAGGTTCCTGGGCTATGCTTAACTCCTGGTTTTATAGCTGTGTTATTGATTGGTATCAACTTTTATAAGGAAGACTGGGCTAGGGCAAGTGTTGAGCACTGGTGAGTAGTTTTAAACAGTGCTCCCAAGCTTCTCAGAGCTGTTCTGATGTAAACCAAATCACAGAGTTCTAGGAACCAGAATTCTAAAAGCAGTACATTCTTGTTCTTGATAATTAATGATGACTCTAAGACAATGAAGCATTCTTTCTTTCTTTTTGGTGGAACCGGGGTTTGAACTCAGGCCCGTGAGCTTGTCAGGGAAGCGCTTATTCCACTGAGCCATCTCCCTGGCCCCTATGAAGCATTCTTGACATTTTCTGATTCTCCAGTGGGCTCTACGATGTCTCTGGCTACACCACCCCAAACACACCCAGTCTCATCTTAAAGGCTCTCTGAAAACTCTGATCATTGTCACACTTGCTTAACCAGGCACCATGACTGCACTTGACAACAGAGAACTGATCGTTCTTCTTCCCTTCTCTGTAGGGTGGCAGCACTGGCATTTCTCACACTCTCCAGTCCTGACTTTTGTGAGGCTCTATTGAAAGGCTGAGTCCTTGTAACCCAGCTGAGATGTCACGCCTCCGGGGGAGCCTTCTGGTCTGCCTGCAGAAGCAAGCACCACCTCCATGTACTAACCTAATTTGCCTGAAGGCGTGGATGGCACTTAATGAGAAGGTATGTCTACATATATTGCTCATCTGACAGACAGCTGCCTGTGTTCAGAGTTCTCCCTGTGTGTTTTCAGCACAGTGCTGACCCTTGTGGCATCACTTGCCAGGCCTTGCAGATTTCATTGCACTGAGTCTGTTGGGGGTGAAGACTAACTTTGTGACTGTGTGTAGGGCTGTGATATAGTTGCCGAGAGCAAGGAAGTTAAAGAAACTGTCTTCCACCTCAATCATCCCCAGAGGGAACACACATTTGTCTGTAGGCCAGCAGGGTCATGGGAACTGTTTTGGCAGGGGATAGGGTATGGATTTAGAGGGCTGGGGAGTTCGTCTGGTGCCTTATGTTCCAGCATGCTGAATGCTAATCTTTACTCACTAAGTCAAGATTTCATTGCAAAGCCTGTTCTCACCGGGCTGTGTTGGTAGTAATTCTTGTGCTTTCTCATATGTATTAATTTATACAAAGGTCACTCTCATCTGTTCTATTGACATCTTATCCTGAGGTAGAGAAGGAAAAAAATCATGTACCTGAGACCCGCCCTAGTGTAGAGCTGAGGGCATTGCCTTAGAGTGGAGTCGGCACTAAGCAGTGAGCTGAGGCTGAGCTACACTCAAGACTCTCATGGCTGTTGCAGATCACTTCTAAAATACAGAATCCATAGAAACAAGCTGGCAGGTCAGGCACTGGCCAGAAGTCACAAATTCATGAAAACAGGCTGGTCAATAACATGTGCTCTGCAGCCAAACATCCTGGGATGAGCTCCAACTCTGCCCCTTACTGGCTGTGTGACTGCCAGCAAATTGCTGTCACTTTCAGTGCCTGTTTGCTCATCTTCAATTCCAATAAGGTTGTGTGGCAATTCATTTAACTCCTGTTTTAAGGTGTTTCCCACATGGGTTGACACCTCATGAGTGCTCTTAAAAGGTTTATGAAAGGAAACGGAAATATTGCCATGGTTAGCAGGGAACCTTAAAAATTATGGGTGATCACTGTTCCAAAGTGTGAATGTCTTCTATTGATTCATGCTCGGTGGTCACCCTCTGTGGATCTGCACACCAGCTAAGCACTCCTGATCTGAGACAGCTGAAGCAGTGAGGTGAGTGAGAACACAAGCAGGGGTGAGGGTGAAAGTGAGCAGAAGAGCAAGGGTATGTGCATCATGGGCCTCTTACCACGCACTGTGTATCCCAAGGCATCTGCCAGCTGCTGGTTAGTGTTTCCCTGAGCTCCAAACTGTAGGATCTCTAGCGGGAGGGATACACCAGCGGGTGAGATGACAAAATTTGTCCCATTTTTCCCTGCTGCCATACTGCGGTAGAGGCGGAGTGCAAACTCGGTCTTTAGCCAGGGTAGGCCTTCCTGGAGGAGGTGACTGCTTCCTCTTCCGGGGAAACAGGAGTGAAGGAGGAAGAAGGTGACTGGCAACAGCAGCAACATGGCAGGGGGAGGCCTCCTGCAGTTCAAAATGAAGAGACAGAGATTGAGGCCAGTGACGAGAGTGGGGCTATTCCTCAGAGAAGTAGAATGGCCAGCTCATGGGTGGGAGGGTCTCAGTGTAGAGTTGGAAATGGATGAAGGGAGGTTCACTGAACTGTCCTGGCCACTCACCTATTGGTGCCACCAACCAGACTGCTTTACTGCACTGGGATCCTCTCAGAGCTTTATATTCAGCCAGCTTACAGTTGTGCCTTACTTATCACAAATAATAATATTAATAATAATCAATATTGTAACCATGTTATAAAGGACTTCATGCCTTCCCATTCTCAATCATTCCAACATTTGCTTCTCAGCCTTTTGGCTAAGGTCAAGAGTAGTATCAATCATTCCAACAATCTTACTAGGTGGCTGTTATTTCAACAATGGAGAAGACGAGTGAGGTTTAGAGAGCTCAGTGGCCTATTTATACAAGAAACCAACAGGGTTGTGACTCCAATCCTGCTTTTCTGAGTGGTCTATAAAATACTTTAGAACAGTGATATATGATCCAGGTGTGGTGGCACACAAGTGTAATTTCAGCAACCTGGTGGCTGAGGCAGGAGGATTACTGCAAGTACGAGACCAGCCTGGGCTATGTAGTGAGTTCAAGGCCAGCTTGAACTGCATAGGTAGATCCTGTCCTGACATGCAAATGAGAGAGGGAAAGAAAGAGAAAGACAGAGAGAGAGAGAGAGAGAGAGAGAGAGAGAGAGAGAGAATGAGAGAGAATGTATGACTTAATCATTACCAAGAATTCCAGAATTCTTGAAATGTGAATTAATTTGATAAAAAAGAACACTTTCACAGAGGATAGAAATATGCAAAAGAAAGTTCCTACCACAGAACTATACCCTTCCAAAGAGCAGAGACCATCCACTAGCTAGAAATTAATGCCAAGAGAGAGAAGCAAAACAAAAAATTGTTTTCAATAAATATGCCCTACAGATGGCTGGCAGTTTTTACTAAGTGGTCTAACTGGAACCATAATGCCCTGATGTGACAAAGGCTCCATTCAAAGTCTTCAAGAGGGCCCTAAGTTAAGTGAGGCTTCCTTCAGACAAAGCCTAAGGTAGAAAACCATCCTCTTGTTTTCCATCTCTTTCTCTATAGCCAGGTACAAATGCAGTGCATGGATGATCTTGGTAGCATTACAGTGAGAATATGCCTCTGTTTGTGCACCTGGAGGTAGTGGGCTCCAGGAAATGGCCAGGGCTATTTCCCAAAGTCTCAAATCCCACTTCAAGAGTCATGTAGCTGCTCTCACTTCCCCAGGAATATTCGGCCCTTGCAGTCAGACCTCAAGGCTGAGGCTGCCCATACCCCACACCCCACTGTGGCTCACCACTGATGCGCAGCTTCCTCACAGTCTCTTGAGTCAGTGCTGAGTTTTCTTGCTCAGTTCTGTTTCTGTGTGACTCCAGAACTATGTGCTCCTTTTTAAAAAAAAAAAAAAAAGTGGAGCAGAATCTGCTTTGAATCACAAGACAGAACAGGGAGAAAACTGGTGATTGTCGTCTCTGCCGGCGATGTCTCTACCACTCAGTCCAAATTCCTGGAGCTTGGAGGTCCAGGGAGCCCGGGAGCCAGAGGAGCAGCCCAGCCCAGGGAGCAAAGCCCAGATTGGGAACAGAGGAGGGTCCTGGGGATGGAGCCAGCCATACCAGTCAAGCCTTCTTAGGCTTGTGACCTGGTTGTACCAGCAAGGAACCCCTTGTCTAGCCCTATGTCACTTTGAAGAATTCACTGATAACTCCAAGTCTGGGATTTTTCTGGGTACCACGTACTTAATGCTTCTCTCCTTCTGTGAAGAAAACATTAAGTCTGCCTTTGGGCACAAATTGAAACTTTTAACAAGTAAAATTATGCAAAACAGAAGAAAACAATGTAAGGTATGGCACAGTTAGTTTGGAACAGGGTGTCTTTTCTTTTCTATTATTAATAAAAGTAAATGCATTCATTTAGCTATTTGTAACATGAGCACTATTAAGAATCAATGACTCAATCTGAGAGACAGAGAGTGCACTGACTAGTTGTCAGTAAACAGACTCATAGTTTTGAAAGTATGAACAGGTTTTATCAAAAGTCTGTACTTGTAACCAACTAAGAATTATACATTTCTATTAAGGTCATAGGTATTTCATTAAGTTCAAAATAGATATTGGTTATGTGCTGTTAAATATTAAAGGGAAAGGAAGGTACTTCAAATATATATTTTCCCCGACAACTATTCAGACCTCTACAATCAGTGAACAATTCACTTTAAAGCATAGTTCTATTGCTGACACTTAAGCTTGGGATGGTTTATAGGTCTTAAAATAGTGACAGTTCTATAGTTGTTTCACATGACATCCCCTTGAATCTTAAATTTAAGTGTAATTTCATTATTGCATCCCTTGGGATATAAGCCATAGTATGATAGGAAAATAAGTTTGTTTAATTTTTTTCTATAGCACCAAGAAAAGACATGTCATCCATCCATCCATCCATCCATCCATCCATCCATCCATCCATCCATCCATCCATCTGTCTGTCCATCCGTCTGTCCGTCCATCTTTCCGTCTATCTGTCCATCTGTCTATCCATCCATCCATCCATCCATTTGTCCATCCATCCATCCATCCATCCATCCATCCATCCATCCATCCATCCATCATATAGCCTGATATTTCATGACCTGATTGCCTGCTTGTTTTTAAGGGTGTGGAGATATGGCCGTGAACCAACAACTTGGGCTATCCTTATTCCTTGAGTCCATACTTTAGATGTTGATGATATTCAGAAAAAACAGTGATAATAACTTTTACAAGGCCTGTCTGACAACATTAAGAGGCTTATTTTTCTGGAATTCTTTGAGCAGAATATGGTTCACAATTTGCCAGTTGCAGGGGTGGAGAACGTTCCCAAATTAGAAGATTAGGTTGTATGACTTCTGTGATTATTCTTTCCTAAGAATATAGATTTCTGGATTGCTTTGCTTTTTCCAGAAACAGTATCAGGGAAACAGCACACAGTAAAGGATATCTCTTACATAGGTTAAACATTCCAAAGTGTGAATAAGTGAATGAAGATGAACTGTGACTGAATTTTCTTCTATGTACTGAGCAATGAACCTGGTGAAGTCATTAGGTGTCTGATAATTTAAGCAGAGACTATCATGTTTGTTTCTATGTTGTCAAATGGATATTGGATAACTTCTTTTTTTATTTTAGGGAAGGGTCTATAGCGTGTTCAGTGTCTCACTCCTAGATCAGACTCATAGCGATTCACCTGTTTACAGCCTCCCAAGAGCTGGGATTATAGGAGCGTACCACCATTCCAGTCTCAATTGCTGTCTCAGTGTGCCCCGTGGTCAGGGCCAGCACTGGATAACTTCTAAGGGAGGTTCCATTGCTGTATTTGTTCACAACTCTAACAACAAAAACACTGAACATTACTAAACAACTGAAGTGTTCCAGATACTCTGATATACTTCCTATTCACTATTGCAATCCTATGAAGATGCATATTATTCCCATGCTTCTGATAAAGAAACTAAGGCTAAGAGCTTCAAAACTGGCATCAGATCCTGCCAGAAGGAACTGGGGTTGAAACCCAGGTTGACCTTGACTCAAAGGCTTGCACTCTTTATTTCAGTTATGGTAAGTCTGTAGCCATCAGGCTTCTAGGTCTTTTGAAGTCTCCTGTGGTGGAGCAATTCTAGTTTTTGGTGGCTAGTCCAGACTCTAGTGGCTCATAATGTTTGTTCACTCTGACTGCTTTTACTTCAGCTGCTGCAATGAGTCACCTGTAGACATATTGTGATGAATAAGAAATGCCTTCTTAGTTATGATACTTAAATTTTCACTGGCTGATTTCTTATGGCTTAAGCAAATCACTTTTAAACCCAGAGGCCAACCAGACTAATGTGATGGATTGAAGCATTACATCTTAATTCAGTTGGAACATAATCAACATGCAGGCAGCTCCTTTTTTGTGTGGCAACTGGTTTTCTGAGCTTGTACACAAAGAGTTCCTATTTGTAGCTCTCCCTTGAGGAATTTGTCATGGGAAGATAGCACTTGAGCTGAATGAGAATGAAGTCCACCACAGGAAGTCGCTGGGCATTGCCCAACTATCCAGAGAGCAGCTCAAGAAAGTCCAGTGTATGTTGTCACAGAGTTAGACAAATCTAAATTTTTCAGGGGAAACTGTGCTGTGGGCCCTCCAACTCTTTCAGGAAGATGAGATTTGGGATTAGATTTTCTGCATTTTTTGCTGTCACAACTGACAGCTGTGACATGGCCCTCAAGTTCTTCACAGGTATCCACTTCATAGAATCAGAATGAACTGTTGAGCCTCCCTACTTTCCAGCACCTTTTGGTATGATCTAGTGTAGAACCCATGAGCCCTGGCTTCACATAATTGCTTTTTACTAAGCATCGACCTTGGGCAAGTCATTGAGCTGTTTTGAGGTTTAACTGTTCTGCAAAATGGCTTTACAACACTTCTCTTTATCTGTCAAGCATCTAGCATGGGACTAGTTAGGTAAGAAAGGCTGAAAATATCAGCTTCTTGGGCTTCTGAGTCTATGAGGTCAGTTTTCTGTTGCTATGATGAAATACCTGAGATCATCAACTTAAAAAAGGGACAATTGACTTTGGCTCATGATTTCAGAGGGTTTCAAAGTTGGCCCCTTTGAAGGTTGGTTGGTTCCATTGCTTTTGGGGCAGTGATGAAGCAGGCTGTGGCAGAAAGTCATGGTGGAACAACTTGTTCTCTTCATAGAATTGAGAAAGAAAATAGAGAAGGAGAGGTGGGAGTTCCTGTGTCCTTTTCAGGATCATGTCCCAGTGACCTAACTTTGTCCAACTTGGTCCCACTTCTTAAGAGATGCATGACCACCCAGTGGTGCCATGGGCTAGGAGCCAGATCTTCAGCACTTAGGCTTTAGGGGATCCACACTATGACATCTTCCCCCA